TGGGCCAGCCCTGTTGCCAAGGAAATCAGATGGCCACAGTTCAAATAAATCCTAGTCCCTGTGGCTTTACAAACCAGGTTCATGTACATGCCTCAAATCTTGACAGGATGGAAAAAATGGAAGAAAACAGATTGCAGCATGACCACACCCCATTGGGGGGAGTATTCTATCCTTTCCTCTCTGTTGTCTCTCTGATGGGCACACATACATAGCCCCTGGCAATTAAAAAAAACGCATGTGGAACATAGCAATAAAGCAAAATAAGTCAGTTTTTTTGGTCTTTTCATACTAGTAGTAAAAATAAATACTGTATACCAGGGCTGCCCCATGACCTGAAGGTAAGGGAACTGGACTCCACATGACCAACCATGTGGCTCTAGTCTTACATCTGGCAGCTGTGTACACACCCCGTAACTAACAAGATGAAATGAAGATTAGTGACCGTGCCCCACCGTAGGGTGCATTTTCCCTTTCCCTCTCCATTTCTCTGGCAAGTGCACACACCCTCTAGCCAAAAATATATATATTATATTGTGTACCTTAAGATTTTTGCAACTCTTCATCAGGTATTTCACATCATAAATGGATGGGAAGAAAAGATTCAGGATATGAAAGAATTCATGTTCCTCTTCTGGCAAACGCGAATCCGTAAGCAATTTCACCATGTAGCCAAAATCATATCCACTGTGAGGAGGGAGTGAAACATGAAGGTTACCAGACCCCGGTACCAATCCACTCTGTCTCTGCTTATAACACTAGCTTCTACTGGATTTTCAGTCTCCCGAAGAGTTTATCCTACTGTAATCTGAACTTTCTATTAAATAACAACAAAATAGGCTAATTGAAGAGATATGAAAGAGAACCCAAACCTAACGGTTTATGATTGTGGATCTGAACCATCAAAAATTGTAAGGTACTAAAAAGAAAAAAGGTACTATCTCCTAAGTGCACTCTTAATTTTTGAGACTCTGAAGGACTCTGGGACAGACATTTAAAAGACTTCTAAGGGACCAGTGGATGGTGTAATGTTTACGTTGCTAGACTCCCACATGGTTGATGGCAGTTTGAGCCCCAGACTCAGCAACTTCAAATTCACACCGGGCGTGTGTACATGCCTGCGCAAAATCTCAAGAGGAGACTAGAGAAGGGAATGCAGTGTAGCCACCCTCACCACTTGGGAGTGATTTCTCACTTTCTTTCTCTGGTGAGCACACACGCCCTATAGCAAAAATCTCCCTTTAAAAGTAAATAAATAAATAAATAATAAAAGACTTCTCTAAGTTTTGCGACCCTCTCCTCCTCCTTTCCACTTGGTATTATAACCACTGATGGCCAAGACACAAGCGGATAAGCACAGTGTGAAAAAAAGTCTGAGTGCCCAAGTGTTTTGGGAAAATCTGAAACAAGAACAATAGGTACCATTTCAATTTCTGTTACTGATGGACACAGCAGAGAGAGTTACTGTATAATTAAATCTAAGAATTCCATTTCCTGCTCTAAAGTAGCCCAAAGCAAGAAAGAGACAAACATATTCCCTAGGACTGACCTATGAAATGAAAGCCATTTGACATTGTCACAGAGAACCACTCCCGATGTCATTAGCAGCTCTGCAAAGTGCAGTGTGTCTATTCCTTCTTCTTCATGCTTCTGAAACTGCAGTCCTGAGTTAGCAAGGAGATCTATGGAATCCTGGGAGTACATGTCCTCTCTAAAAAATAAGGAGTTCATTTATTAGCTGGTAGATAATGAAGCAGAATAGCAGACAACAGGATTACTATCACCTTATAATTACAGTGCAAGTATTCTAGAAATGCATTTCATAACCGAAGCATAGATCAATTCATCATTGTTTTTTTTGAGAGGTTTTCGCTACAGGGCACGTGCGCTCACCAGACAGAGAGAAACATAGAGACAGCGAGAAATCACCCCCCAGGGGGGATGGTCACGCCGCAATCCCTTTTCCTCCATTCTCCTCTCAGGATCTTGGGCATGCATGCACACGCGCCCAACGTAAGTTTTAAGCCACCGGGTCCGGGACACGAACCGCAGTCGACTATGTGGGAGTCCAGTGACATAGCCATTACGCTAACTGCTGGTTCCCTCAATTGATCATTCTTTGCATCATTTCAGCAAGCATGCAAAGTAGATAATCTTATTTCTGTAACAGATTAAAAAAAAAAAAAAAAAAAAACACGGGACCAGCAGTTAGCGTAATGGCTATGTCGCTGAACCCCCATGTAGCCGGCCACGG